AGGCCCTTTTGCTTCCCCTTGACTGTTGTCTCGTTTTGAGTAACTCCTTCCAACAGGAGAGTGTGCTGTTCCCCCGCAGGTTGGAAACAGGGAGAATTAAAATGAAATTCCATCAACCTTATTAAAATATGCGAGGGCTTGGGTCTTCTTGGGTACCAATCAGTCTAGAGACTTAGAAGCATTTATTAGCAGTGGGGCTGCTGAAGGTTTTTAATGATAAAATTACAAATATTCTAGCTAATTGTAAGTATATGACTTTTATACTCATTTTTAAGAGGAAAAATACTTTTTTTTTTAATAAGGGGAAAGAAGTAAAGCCGTCAGAGCACCTTCTGTGATTAGCAGTATTGTATTCTTAAATTTTGATTGATAGAGATAATAGTTTTCACGTAAAAATACAGACAGGTACTTTAACTTTCCATGACAATAGCTATTTGCATTTCTTTTATCTTTTTGTTTAACATTTGTGGGGGTTGGGATGGATTTGATTATTAACTCTTATTGCACACTGAAGGCGAATCTAAAACAAAGGCTTTGTTAGCGCTTCAAAGGCAAAACAGCAAATATTGTTTTTGGTTTTCAACGTGTACAGGTTGTTAAAGGATACCTATAAAATATTTTCACATGACCGTGGCCAGGGTTTTACTTGAGTGGAAGGTAGAAGAGAATGAGTTTTCCAACTGAGACAGGTCCTTGGCTGTAGTTTTCCTGAGGGAACGCCAGCCTGGAGTGATGTCTTCCGCAATCCTCTGGGTTGCCTGTAGCCTGTAGCACACGGTTGCACTGTGTGTGGGGTTTTTGAGTTTTGCCTACCAGAACAGATTCGAAAAGTTAGACTCTGTGATGTGTCCCCAGAGGGAGAGAAGGGGCAGTAAAATGTTCCTCCCGGGGACAGGAGGGGGTTTGGACAATGACGTAGTGTTGTGTGGCTGGTCATTTCTTTGATAGAGACCAGTAAAGGAAGTGTCACCTTTATAAGCCAACTGCCATGGGTGTGTCTCAGGCCACCCTGGCTGCAGAATGCCTGGGCTGCACAGATGCTTGTATCCCGTGTCCTTCCTTCCTTCCTTCCTCCTTTCCCTTTTCATTCTCTACTCTGCCCCCCCCCCCCCCGCCCACCCCCAGTTTTCTTTGTCTTTCTGCCTTCCCTCCTTTGAATTTTTGTTAAATCCAACTCAGTAGTTGAAGCTGTAGAGAGCACAGGGCTAAGCTCTGGGGGTGATTTCGAGGTGGATTTTCTTGTGTCGAAAATAAAGTGACCGTTGTGTTCAATCAGTTAAACATGTGCCGATAGCCTTCTGTTTTCTAAGAAATCACTGGAAGATAAGACAAGAAAGCCAAAATGAGTTCAGACTGACGACTTAAAGAGGCAGTACTCCCTTGGAAACTGGCCCGTTTGGACCGATTTTCTCAAGTAAAGTCTCTGCTGATCAGCAGGAGGATGTGGGAGTGTGGACGTTTGAGCCATGCTCTGTCCTTTAGGAAAGCACAGGGCTGAGTCCTAGGCCCTTGCACCTGCTAAACTGGCCCCTTTGCCATGGACCTGAAATGGCTTGGCTCACCTCATGTCTCTGGTAAGACTGGCACACGGCGGCTTTTCCACCAGCCTGTGCTAGACGGAGGCTTGAGATAGATGATGTTGGTCACCCTTCAGCATCAGTTTGCGGTAACTGCATATTGTGAAAGAGAGTTCAGGCCTTGCGGTGGGGATCGTTTATTGTAGCCGCTGTGAAAGGGAAAGGGGGAACTACTTGGAGCGTGGAAAATAGAAGGTATGCTGTTACTTTCCAGCCCTGTGAAGTGGGATCTCACCCGCTAACTTGGGCTTCAGTTCCAAGGAGCTCATGCCAGCTGGCAGTTGTGTTCCATATCTCACCGATCCAGTGAGGGACAAAACCCAGAGTGCAGCCTGGATGCAGGGTGGCAACCACAGGGCACCGTACAGTGAGCTAGTGGAGGAGGGAGGGCGGAGGAAGTAGAAAAAGAGGAAGCACTTGAGATATTGGGTTTCCAGCCCTACAGGTGGCAGGTGACATGCGGGGTGGAGGGGGGGGGGGAATCAACACGGCCTCTGTGGTCACCTTGTAGCCTCAGGTAAATAACATGGGCTGCAGTGAAGAGGCCTTGGAAAATTCCAGTTCATGGGATCTTTACTGGGAAAGAGAATGCCAGGAAGGAAAGTAATTTCTGTTTACCATATGCCCGTCTCACTTCTAACACAGAAAATCACTAGGGAAGTTCTTAAAAAGAGAAAAAGAAAGCAACATGGCATCTGTGTGGTGGCAGCCTTTTAAAACCAAGAGACAAGAGACCTGGAAGGGAAGACAGCTCTTTTATACTGTGTGTGTGTGCACACGCGTGTGTTTGCATGTGCGTGTGTGCATGTGTGTGTGCGCGCGTGTGTGCGTGTGTGTGAACTTCAAAGCTTTCCACAGTGGTTTAATTTGAGCTTTTGTGTTTGTGCTGCCGACAGTCAGACAGGTAAATAGTCGATTGACTTGATCGGTAAAAGTACACAGTTTTAGGAATTGAAGTTCCATGCTTCGGGAAAAAGCAAGCTGCATCTTTTTCACTATGGTGGGTGATTTCTGATTCTCCCAAGCATGTATTGATACCGGCTTGGGCCTCAGTTCTAACCCCTTATTTTCTTGTCTTCTATATTGACACATTTCATCTAATTCCACGTGATGGCAAACAGCTGTTGAACTATTAATCTTTCTGCAGCAAAACTCAGAAAATACTATTTCAGATGGACTAGGCTAATGGATGCCTTCTTTCTAAAAAGTAAAATCAACAGAAATAAATTAATGAGCGGTCAGATGTGCATGTGCATTAAAATTTATGGAATGTGTTTTACATCTTACTGACGACACTTGACGCATAAGTGGAAATCAAACGTAGCCAGCTTTGCACTGCCTGAGTCTGTGTGTGGTAGCGTGTCTGTTGTCTAATTGTGCGGTTACTCACTCTTTATGCTTTTATTTCCCCAGTGGAAAAAAAGACACGTACGTTACATTGAGGATCAGCCAGTGTCTGGTTTTGCCTCCACTCACTTATGAACTATGCTTTTTAGGCAGCTGTGTGAACAACAGACAGACCTCATGCTTACCTGGAATTTGTTCCATTGGTTCAGATGCAACACTAGAGATAGCTAACTTTATTCAAAGTAGGCCTTTCAGCAGTTTTCTTTGGAAATTAAATTTTAATGAGGTCCAGTTGTTTGCCTTGCCTATATGATAGCAAATCTCATCTGCATTGCAAAGTCTAATACTATAGGCCCTTCTGCCAAACATGCAAAAATAGACCCAGCTCAATAGATAAACATATAAATTAGTTTAAAGCGCATGCATTGGAGTAAGTCTCCAGGAAAAGGGAGGGAGATAGGGGCCTTCTTGCTTTGAATTGAGTAGGGTCTGCCAAAGTTCACTTATTTTATATTTAAGATTTGATGAATTCTGGTTGTGTAGCTAAGTGGTCAAGTGCTTGCCTAGCATGTGAGGTACCTTGAGTGTTGTTCCTAGGACTGCAAATAAGAGTATAATTTTAGAAGTTTTGATTTTTGGGGACTGCCATTTCTTGTGTAGGAGATGCTGTGTGCCTTGAGTGGAGTGGGGGTACCTCCCAGGCTCCTGGTCTGCCTTAAACACTTGATGGCCGCTGCACTTTCTTATTGCTGTTCACTACGAAACAAGAAGGCGATCCTGAGTGGTCGCATCAGCGGGAAGGCACACGGTTTTCATTTTCAGTTTGAATTGTTTTGTGTGAAAACAAAAAAGGTTTGGGTACAAGTTGCAGGGCTGTCATTTTAAACCCCGTGCTAGGGTTTTCCCCCACCTAAAAGGTAAAGATTTATGGTGAAAACCTCCAATTTCCTCTTAACAGTAAACATGAGAATTCTGATTTCACTCACAACCTGCATCGTTTTTTCCAGTCAGCATGGCAAGAATCTACATACCCCTTGATTGTGGAAATGTCAGAGGTTGGCATGAAAGTGCCACTTCCCAGCCCTAGTGAAGGGAGAAGCCTTGGCCTTTCCCATTCAGTGCTGACATCAGAGGGTGTGCGGGGCTGTGCTCTATTCCGTACTGTTCTGGGTAGTAGCAAAATGCTGTTAGCCAGCTAGTAACGCGATAGGCCCTCACCGTCTCATATTCTAGTATTTCTTCAGTGAGGTGGGATGAACCCTGCACCGTCACTACCACGGCCTAAATTAACAAGCTAATCTTTGTCTTTTTCACTTGGGCCATGTGCTGATTCCAGTTACTTGAACAGGAAGAGGCAGCGTCTGACATTTCTTACAAGGCACAGAGGAGTTTTGCTGAGGGGCGGTGGAGATGCGGAGGAGATGTGGGTTGAAATGTGTTCCTCGCTTCCTTTGTGTTTTGGGAAGCTTGGTTTCATTTGTTTATTTCATGTGACATGAACCATTTTTATCTAATGTAGTGGATCTGGTAGAGATAGATGCTAAGTGCTAAATATTCTGTGAGCAGCTTTCAACAGCAATTAACCCCTTGCCCCTCCCCAAGTAGAAAATGGTGCCTTTAAAAAAAGAAAATTATTTTGAAACGTTCAGAGTGACAGAAAGCATCATGTCTGCAAGTGCAAGCTCACTTTCAAAGAGGAGAAAAATAAGCCCGATGCTTTAATGAAATTAGAAATGTTGTGGGCACGAACCAAACACACACACATATTCAAGTACCAGTCGGGTTTCCAGAAACAGAGAGGCCTGTGAGTCATGTATTCTACCACTTGAAAATGAATTATTAGATGGCGAGGCAAGAAAGAGTTCTTTGGAAAAGTCGGAAGTGTTCCGTCTTCACTTTCCCTGTCCCTGTGGGGTTTATGGTCTTAGAGTGAAGATCCCAGCCTTGTTTCTGTGAACTGAGAAATCTCCTGGATGTGCAGTTAAACTCCTGGTCCTTCGCTTGTGTGGATGCTGGACACTGTGAGATTCTGCTTGTCACTTGGGTTGTGATGGGCTGTTTCTGTTTTGTTTTCAGGGTGAGAAGTGACCTTTTGAGGTGACTATAACTGAAGATTGAATTACAGAAGCAAAAAAAAAAAATTAAGGTAAAAATCATATGTAATTGTTGGACTTGTAGCTAAAACTGTTTCAGCCTTTGGGGCCTGGGATTAAATCATTTCGTCTTCTGTTGACATGAGCGTGCATATAAACATGTGTATCCATGGACATGTGTGGCATGTGTATCCATGGACATGTGTGGCATGTGGGCAGAAGCCTTATTAAAGGTTTCCTTAAAGGAATAGCCTACCCATGTTCTTCATTTCCCCCAAATGATATCATACCTTATTCCCCAGTTTTTTGAAGGTGAACTTTAATTAATTCTTGCTTGTATGTTTTGCGGGCTTACAGCAAGAAAGGGATGTTCACATTAAAGTGGTGGTTCGTAAAAGTAACCTGCCTCGGACATGAGGAGTGGGTGTCCGCGCTCTGTGCCACCGTGATGGCATCCTATTGATGCTCATCTGCTGCCTGCCTAATCACCTTTTTCCAGAAATTAATAGTCAGGAACCATAGCAACAGGCCACTCTGGTACCACTCCTTAGCAGTGTGGGGCACAGTCCTGAATGTCCACGCTGTGCTGTCTTATTTTCTTGACCTCGCTTGGAAATCAAATGAGTACTTGGCTCTAAAATTCAAAGTTTTCAGAAAGCCTAATGTGGTTTGATGAATGAAGGCCAACTTATATTTCCTGAAATTCATGTTTTTGAGGGAACAGATGAAATGCTCCCATTAAGTGGCCATGTATGCCAGGTGTTTGCATTCAGGAGCATCTCAGAGTTAAGCCCTTGACCTTCTAACAGAGTGAATTTGCAGGTGCTTTCAGTGTATGGAATTTAAGTTTATTTTTATGATGTCCATTTATTTATTTTTTAAGTCTATTGTACAAGTGTCTATTGTATTTTTAGTGAAGATCTCCCTGTGCCCCTTTTTCTTGAGTTAAACTAGCCTTTCCATCTCTGTTTTAATTCTGGCCTGTAGTAGTTCCACTTGATTTAGTAGGTGTGTGTCCATTTAATAGTGAGTTGCTCTGTGGCCTTACTGAATCCTGTCTTTGCTTAGCTTTGCTATCTTGTTCGGTATGTTTGTAAGATAGAGACATTTTTGAACCTTGATAACATTATGATCATTTGATCAGTTTTGTCTTAAGTCTTACATGGGGCCTTGGTTCTAGAGTGCATCATGGAGAGAGTAGGTTTGTTTTCGAGTTCTTTCTGGTGTATTTGCTCTTGGGCCCTGTATTTCAGATTTGCCTCGTTTCATTGTCTATGCTCTTTGGGGAAACACCAGGTTCATGTCCAGAGGTGTTTCATGTTTGCTCAGATATTCCAGCCTTGAAGGGAGTGATGCTGATGAGCCTGTGGCCTTTTGTTGGCCACAGTGGGATGGGCTAAGGGAAGGCTTCCCTGGCCACAGTGGGATGGGCTAAGGGAAGGCTTCCCTGGCCACAGTGGGATGGGCTAAGGGAAGGCTTCCCTGGCCTGAGGTTTAGTTTGGGGCTTCCTGCCAAGTACTGTCTAGTAAATGTTTCCTGTTTTGGGGTCATTCAGACCCCTGTCTCAGCCACTCCTCTTACTCTGAATGTTGTCACCTCTAGAAGAGATCTTAATCCAGGACACTCCTCTGGCTTTAATTTCTTTTTTTTTTAAATATTTTTTTATGTTTTATTTAACTTTATCTTATGTGCATTGGTGTGAAGGTGTCAGATCCCCTGCAACTGGATCTTTAGACAGTTGTGAGCTGCCATGTGGGTGCTGGGAATTGAACCCACGTCCTCTGGAAGGACGTGGTTCTTAACCACTGAGCCATTTCTCCAGCCCCTCTCTGGCTTTAATTTCTTTCGTGCTGTTAGAAACACAGGAAAAGCTGAACACTGAGATTCGTCAAATCTCAGAAGAAAACTTGGTGGGGCATGGTGGTGCATGCCTCTAATGCCAGGCTTGCTCTAATATAATTTTTCATTGACTAGATTTCTTGGGATTCAGTATAAGAATTTTTGCTTGGGGGCTAGAGAGATGGCTCAGAGGTTAGAATCACTGGTTGTTCTTCCAGAGGACTCAGGTTCAATTCCCAGCACCCACATGGCAGCTTACGATTGTCTGTAACTCATGTTCAAGTGTACCTTCATACAGGCATATATGCAAGCAAAGTACCAATGCACATAAAAGAAAAGAAAAGAAAATTATGCTTAATCTGTTTCTTTTTTTTTCTTTCATTTCTGCCTTTGTAAGCTTGGTTTTTATTCCTTAAATGGAACCTTCATTTTTATTCTCAATAAACATTTTGTTATTTGACATTCTTTTGGTCCTACACTATCCACTCAAACTCTCTTTTGCCCCCCAAATTTACTTTTAGACAGGGTCAAATATCTTTTCAAGGCAGATTCACACATGTATGTATGTATATATATGTGCTTGTGTATGTGTCGCTTGTACAGCAAGAGAAAGAAGCATTTTGTGTGTCAACCTGATCTCTAAAATTTTATCGTTTTGTTATTTAATTCTGGATGAACTTGAGTTGATGAATGCATGTGCACGCATATGCACACACACCCATACTGTATGTACACTGATGCATATATATATGTATATATATATATATATATTTGATGTACGCTTGTATGTGCATATACTTCTGAGCATTTGTTTGGAGTCTAGATGTCAACCTGGGATACTTTTGTCAGTCACTCTCCCCTGATTTCCTGAGACAGCATCTCTCACTGAACCTGAAGCACCAATTGAACTGGATTGTCTGGGCCCTGAGCCTCAGGGCTCCTCCTCTGGGTGCCCCCAGTGTGCTGGGGTTAGAGGCTTATACCACTACACCCAGATAATTGTCTTCAAATGTAAGAGATTCCTATGATTCATGGTTTATGTGGCGCTTCTGATTCTTTTTAAATGATCAGCTTACTTGTGAGAAAGTTAAAAAAAAAAAACTTCAAGTAAAGTACGATTATAGTTATTTTTCACCTTCCCCATTTTGAGATTTTTTTTTTTTAAATGTTAAATGAAGGTGCTACGGTACATGTTCACAGTTTGCATCCATTGTACCTTGCATAGTATGGATGATTTCTTAGAGGTTTAAAATGCTTTTCAGCTAATTGAAATGTGTTCGTCCCTCGTTCTTTTAGAAGTGTGTATTTGTGTGACTCAAGCGTTTCCTTAGCAGCAGCACCGTCTAAGGTGCTCCACTCAAATGATCTTTGGGGGTATTTTTGTTTCCATTGTCACTTTATTGCAAGATGGCATAATTCATCACAAATGTTGACTGCACCTCGGTAATTTTAGTTGGACAACAGGTTGCTACAAACTACTTTTCCAAATACTAAACAACTCCAATAGCCGACTGAGGAGCAGAAATGTCTGAGTGGGCAGCCGTGGATAACCAGACGTGAGGGTGGAGGCCTGTCATGCCAGCTCTAGTTGAATAAAGACAACGAGATCAGCAGCAGTACAAGGCCAACTTTGCCAACATAACATGTCTGAGACCAGTTTGGGCTACATGAGACCTTGATTTAAAAAATATATATATACACACACGCACACACATATAAGAAAAAGCAGAAGAAAACATTCGGCATTTAAATTGTGCCTATGAATTTGCGAACCTACTGTGGACTCTGCTGCAAAGTCTTTCCTGCATTGCTGGATGGCTCCATTGGCCAAAATATGATCGACTACCCACCCCTCCCCAGCTAGCCATTGGCCTCCTCTTTGTATAGATACACCACACACCCGGGTCTGGTTGTAATGATCAGGCTGCAGTCTCTGCTGCTGCAGTTAGTGTTTGAAACCGAATGTTCCTTGACTTGGGTCATGTAGCATCCAGCTAGTCTGTTTGCCCAGGGAGGCTTTTGTTTCCTCTCTCTCTGCCCCTGGGGCTCTCTCCTTATCTGTGTACCTGAAGCTAAGCTGTGTGCTTGTGTGCCACAACATGGGGAAGCCAAAACTACTCCATTTTCTTTGAAGCGAAAGTTAAAGATTGCTCACATGACACCTCTTGACCTGTAATTGGTGAGATTAGGGAAGGGCGCCACGGAGTTTCAAGGGCTGCTGGGAAATGTTTTTGACTGAAGAGAGACTGGAAAAGACTGAGGAGCAAATATAAGAGGTCAGACCATCCATAACTTCTTTATGGAGGGAATTACTCCAATCCAATCCTCCCTCTCTTCGTCTCCTGCTGTCCTTCTGTTCCTCCCTGCCCCCTTCCTTTCTCCCTCCCTCCCTCCCTTGCTAACTCGCAATCATTTGTGCATGTAGGTGTACTTGTGCACACACCTTAATTGTTAGCACAGATCTCTATTAACAGTTCTTTACTGTACCCTCAGAGTGTAGTTCCACCTGAGAAGGATGTAGTCTCTGTCTTCTCAGAGTTTATGTTACAGACAGAAGACAGACTCAACTGCTAATAATGACTGTAGAAAGGCTAACTATGGTTGCTGTTTGAAAGTGACCCAGAACAAGGGCCAGAAGGTGCCCAGTGGTGTGTTTCAGCCCAGCGCAGAAGTGTGAGATTGACTTTCTTGTACTCTGCACAACAATGCTGTTGTGAGTTATTAGGCAGCTCAGTGTTTTATATTCAGAGTTCTTGAATTTATAATCAACACATAGTTTTATTCGCTCGTTTAAAGAATGTTTGCTGCACGGGTGCTTTGGGTCTTCAGACTGGTTGCTGTCTACCACCTTACATCACGTATCATTTTGTCAACCAAGAAGGAAATCTTTGCTTCAGGTGGCAGCCTTTCCCTATTTTGCCCTCTATTTAACCTATTGACAGCCATTGCTCTTCCTTCTGTCCTGATAGCTTTGCTTGCTTTAGGTGTGAATGGAATCCTGTAGTCTATGCTGCTTGGAGACTGACTTCTTTCTTAGAGTACAGTCATGTTAAAGATTGTCCAAGGTGCCAGGCAGTGGTGGTGCACACCTTTAATCTCAGCACTCGGGTGGCAGGGCAGGTGGATTTCTGTGCATTTGAGGCCAGTCTGGTCAACAGAGTGAGTTCCAGGACAGGCTCCAAAACTCTCAGCAGTTAAACTTCTAAATTTTAT